TGACTTTGGAGACTCAACACAAGGGTTGGGTCTGTCTAGGACAGGTGTACCCGAAATGAAAAGACCATCCTCATGCATCCTACTTGCTACTTGTGCATTTATTTGCTTCGGATTTGCATGTTGACCGACTTATGAATAATAGGAGAAAAGTTAAAAAAAAAAATCAATGTGAGGGCTAAGAGAGATAATTGCTTGTTTTTGAAAAAAACCAATGTTAAAAAATATACCGAAACTCTGCCAAAATTTTGAAAACAAAAAGAGGGAAAAGAAAAAGAAAATCTTTTTTTTTTAAAAAAGAAGTTGGTTTTGTTTTTATTATTGTCAAATCTGCCCGAACTACGCCAGTTTGATTCTCACCGGATGTGGGATACGTAGGCAACCCCCATCGTGTCCAACTTTCCTTTTTGAATTAACCCAAAAAGAACAAAATTTTTTATTGTAAATAAGTAAGGTGATGTCATTCTTGTTTAAAATAGCTGAATGTCCCCAAAAGGGCGCCGAAAGGCCGTTTTTGCAAGAACAACCACCTTTGGTCGCTTTTTCAAGGTTTTTGGCCGGTTAGCAAACACAACCTTAAAATCTTCTTCCCCGAAGTGTTGAAAGGCCGTATTCGCAAAGCCGGATTTTTTATGAAAATTTTGAAAAAAAATAGTGATAGCTTTTTCGTGAGTCAAAATGAGTCATAATCTTTTTTTTTTAAATCGCTCTAATAAATGTGCAGGATGAGCACAAATGAAAATGAACCCTTCGCAGCTCTTAAGGAGATCCCCTTACAGCTCCATATCTGGTGGAACGACTTAGGAAAAGTCAGCCGAGGAACCGTGGTAAAAGTTTTGGGTGGTCTTTTCGGACTTTTGAACATCAAGCCAAGATTGGACGTGATTGAAGCCTTGATGCCTTTTTGGGATCCGACTCGCAATGTGTTCCGTTTCTCTGATTTTGAGCTCACGCCCATGCTAGAGGAAATTGCGGGCTACGACGGCCTTAACGAAAACCATAGAAGTCGGTACCCAGTGTCATCGAGACCAGTATCTCCTCACAAGTTTCTGGATATGTTGAGTTTAGTCGGGATATTCAGGATGGGAATTTATCTGAAGGATTTTGCACTTTCTAGTTCTTGTACCAACATTATGGCAATCCCCAAGGTTTTAAAGCACTGAATACTAGTCTGACCCATGCCGGAAATAAAGATAAATGGGAGGCACGGCGGGGTTTGGTTTTTATAGTAGCATTTTTGGGTGTTATAATCTGTCGCGAAAAGACGACAACATAGAATTGGGCCTCGTGGGAATGGTTGATGTCGCAATCAAGAAAGCTAATGGCACCTTAGTTCCCCTGATCTTATCTGAGATTTACCGAGCTTTGCCCATCTGCCGAGAAGGGGGAAAATTCTTCCAAGGCTGCAACTTACTACTGCAATTCTGGATATAGGAACATCTCTGCCATCGTGTTGGGTATATGAACTACAGCATGACCGGTTTGGATTGCATCGAAGAATTCGAAAGCCGAGTGTTGGGTGTTGAATTTCCAGAGGGTACCGAGGCTTGGTTTGCACACTTGAGTTCTTTAACTTCGGATAAAATTGAGTGGACTTTTGGATGGCTCCCTGTCACCGAAGTCGTATACATGTCAGCCGAAGTGTGTTATCTCTTCCCGATGGGTATCCAGAGCATTCAGCCATATGCTCCTCACAGGTTTTGTGCCAACTGGGCAGGTTTCAAACCATTCCCCATGACGAAGATTTGAGTGGACATGTCGTCGAATTGGGCCCAAAGGCTGTATTTCCAGAAGGAAGAGTTCGCCAAGTTTGGAATGAGTGCAGATTTCTCGAACCTAAAACTATGGTGCGGGATGTAGCTAAGGGTGAGGTAGACCCCAATTATCTGATTTGGTTCGGTAAAAGGTTTCAGATCCCCCGAGATCTTGAGAAACCTACTAAGAGACCCCATGTCTAACAATTCACTAACGACTCGCAGGAGCAATAGGGATGGTTGGCAAAAGAAGAAAGCTACAGGGCCAGGATAAGTAAATTAGAAGGACAAATCAAGGACCTCAAATTTGGCAATAGTATCCAAGCTTCCGCATATGAAGGAGAAAAGAAAAAGCTAACTCAGGAAAACGAAGCCCTCAAAGCTCAGATCCAGAAAATGAGAATAGCTGCTAGAAACCCGAAAAGAAGTCGAGCAGATGAAAGGCTTATAAGTGGTCTTAGAAAGAAAGTACTCGAGTGTCAAGATGACCTAGAAAAATCCGAGGCTAGTCTAGCAAAAGTCTGAGCACAATTGGCAAAGAATGCAGAAGGGCGGGCAGAGTTTGTGCGATAAATGAAAAGAAAATATGAGGGGACAATCACTAATATGAAGAGGAAGCTAACCACCCTTGAAAATGAGGCGGGCAAACATGCTAGGAACTTTAAAGGCGATAGGGAACATTGTTATGCTTTGATGGCCCAGATGGAGGAAGATATGCAACAGTAGCAGAATCAAAGCCATCATGACACTCAGGTGCTAGAAGCTCGGAATCAGCAAATCGGTCGCCTGCTTCAAGAAAAGGGTATTATTCGAGAGAGGGTTAGAGCCATTGCCGACTACATCGTCATGAAATGCCACGCTTGTGAGGACATGACTCAGACCACTTTCTTCGCTGCAGTAATGACATTTGTCCGCCAAATAATGAGTGATTTGGAGCGGCTACAAGGGGATCTCGCACGTAGGCCCTTGGCAAGACAAAATGATGTCCCACGGGCCCCAGGAGTTGAAGCACTTATGTATTCATGATTTTTTTTATTTATCGAGCCTGTATTTCAGTTTTTAGTTTAAACATGTAGTTTTAAGTCTGTTTGTAGTTCTAAAATTCCAAGAAATGAGTAGTTTGAAGTCTTTTGTAATAGAAAAGTTTAGGAGTTTTATTAATGAAAACTGAAAATTCCCAAAATTGTTTCTTTATTTTTTGCATTTATTTTCTGTAACTACGTAATGATTTGATTCACGCGGCGTCGTGATACGTAGGCAGTCCTTATTGGATCCGATAATGATTTTGTAAATAACTCAAATAAGAGAGGGATTTTGAAAAGAAAGAACCGAAAGAAAACCCAAAAGAAAGAAAAAAGAGTCAAAGAAAAACCAAAAGAAAAACGAAAAAAAGAGAGAGGAAAGAAAAGAGCAGAAAATAGGAATAGAAACATCAAAAAGCCAAAGTGGAAAGAAAAGAAAATTGGGGAAAGTAAACAAAGCCGGGATGAAGCATGCAACCATTGCGAAACACGTATAAATACATTTAAACTGTATAGGTGCATCACACCCCAACGTGCGATTATCTATGTGTTAATTGCTTCAAACTGTCGGTTTGTTATCTACTGTTAAGTCCATGTTCTATAGTAAGGTGGTTGGATTTGTGGTAGTCTGGCTTCATATCCATACTTCACGAGGTCGAAAGGAAGCGTTGAAATGTTTTCGGAAATTCCTCTGCCAACAGTTCCTATTCCGGAGGATAGTCCGATCTCAGCCATCCCAACTTCTGAGTCAGCAATTACTGAGGAAAATAGAATTTTGCGTCTCCGCATGATGGAAATGTGGGACGCCTGGGCAAACGGAAAAGAACCACCAAGTGCGATACTCGAATTCCCTGAACTATTTCCTAGGGCAAGTGGGACCTCCAACATCCCTATAAGTTATCCAAATACCCCACTTGGATATCCTACCATTTCAGCCCACTTTGCTGGAATACCTTCTGAGGCTCGCCCCCAGGTGCTAACTTCCGGTGCGGCTTCAAACATATTCACCACGCCACCTTGTTCAGCTACGGCACAACCAGCTTTACCTAGGCCTAGCTTCGATCCATCTTCCTTCACATTTCAAGCACCATCTTTCCTAATAGAACCAACCCAGTTTACTACCAATGTTTACCCTCAGCTGCCTCGATACAAGTTTACCGCAGGGCAGGAGAAAACCGCAAAAACCCCTGAGCAAGAGGAGATTACCAGAAAGATGAGAAGCATGGAGTAAAGTCTCAAAAAAATACAGGGTCTGAGTGGGCAAAAGAACGTATCTTACGCTGACTTATGCATGTTCCCGCACGTACATCTACCCCTGGGTTTCAAAACCCCAAAGTTTGAAAAATATGACGGGCATGGGGATCCCATTGCCCACCTCAAAAGGTATTGTAACCAACTGCGGGGAGCGGGCGGAGAAGAAGAACTTCTCATGGCCTACTTTGGAGAGAGTTTGGTCGGCATTGCTTCGGAGTGGTATATGGATTAGGATATATCTCGCTGGCATATCTGGGATGACCTGGCTCGGAACTTTGTCAGGCAGTTTCAATATAACATCGACATTGCCCCTGACAAGAATTCATTATCAAATCTAAATAAGAAGTCCTCGGAAAACTTCCGAGAGTATGCTGTCAAATGACACGAACAAGCGGCCAGAGTCAAACCTCTAATGGACGAAACGGAGATGGTCAGTGTCTTCCTTCAAGCCTAAGAGTCTGATTATTATTAAAATATGATGTCTGCGATGGGTAAGTCATTTGCCGAAGCCATCAAAATCGGTGAAATGGTTGAAAATAGGTTGAAAACCGGGCGAATCTCGAGTCAGCCCTCTATAAGGGCTACCTCCCAAGCAATCCAAGGCAGGTCTGGAGGAGTAGAAAATCGAAAGAAGAAGGAAGAAGCAACAATGACAACTTCAAGTGCAAGAAAACCTCGTCCACCCAGACCTCTTTTCTCTGAAAGAACCCCACAACATTACTATCCCCACCAAGATGTGGCTTATGCTATGGTTCCTCAGCCATACGCAGTGATGAATGCGCAACCCTACATTAGGCCGTAATAATAGTTTAATCAAGACCGAGCTTCATTTCCCAGAAATCAACCTCCTCATCAAGCTCACTATAATCCCCAACCTCCACGGAACAACTTCCGCACCCGGGAACCACTCAAGATACCAAACTTCACACCCATCGGTGAGTCTTATTCCATCCTTTTCCCCAAATTTGTTCAGATGGGTTTGTTGCAGCCTATACCCCAAACCAGGCAGAACCCAGCGCCGCCCTCTTATAGAGCTGGTACACAATGTGCCTACCATTCAGGTGCAGAAGGGCATGATACAAATGACTGTTGGACCCTGAAGAGGGCTGTGGAAAATCTGATAGAACAAAAGAGAATAGTGCTAAAGGACGAAGACGTTCCTAATGTAACCAACAATCCATTACCGGCTCACAACAACGGGCCAATTATTGGAATGATCTGTGAAGACAGAGAGTTTGACCCAGCTCTAAAAGCCATCATTGCCATACCCGATGTGGAAAAGAAGCCAAAAGCTGTCGTGAAACAAGACAAGGGGGAGAAAAGGAGCAAATCTATCCCCCAGAATACAGAAAAGAAAGTGGAAGCTGAAACTGGGGCAGCGCCCTCCAAAGATGTCGTTCTCTATGTTCCTCGGGGCCCCAAGAAAGAACAGATGTCATTGAGTCCTTCTAGAAGGTTTGAGCTAAACAAGAGAGCTAAAATGTATGTGCCTAGAGGGACCTACGTGGTACGGGGGCCGATAACTCCACTAAGGCTGAATGAGCCCGTGGTTATTGGCCGCGCACCGCAAAGGACCATGACAAATCCCATTGTCGTTCCATGGAACTATAACAAAGCAGTAGTAACTTACAAAGGCAAAAAGATCTCGGGAGAAGTTAAGGAAAATAACCCGGCTGAAAAGTACCTCAATCTGGAGGAAGTGAATAATGCCACAAAGAAGCGTTTCCCACCTAAGAAGCTAGTGAGTGCTGAAGAAGCAGAAGCATTCTTCCAGAAAATGAAAATGGCAGACTACGAGGTAATCGACCAGCTCCGAAAGTCTCCTGCCCAAATCTCTCTACTGTCTCTGCTAATGAATTCAACTGAACATCAAAAGATGTTGATCAAAACTCTTAATGAAGCATACATACCCATTGAAACCACTGTAGAATAGTTGGAGAGGATGGCAGAGAGGTTTTTGCAGTCAATCAAATCTCTTTCAGCAAGAATGATTTGCCCCCGGAAGGGGCTGCACACAACAAAGCCCTCCACCTGACAGTTAAATACGAAGGTTATTATGTGAAAAGGGTCATGCTAGATGGTGGTTCTGGGGTAGATATTTGCCCACTCTCAACTCTGCAACGTATGGAAATCGGTACTGAGAGAATCAGACCCAACAACGTCTGTGTGCATGCCTTTGACGGCATAAAGAGAGATACAATAGGCGAGACTATCGGCCCGGTGGACTTCGAGGTGACCTTTCAGGTCTTAGACTTGGATATTTCCTATAATTTCCTCTTGGGAAGGTCGTTGATTCACGCAGCAGGGGCTGTGCCTTCTACTCTCCACCAGATGGTGAAATTCAAACATGAAGATCAGGAGATTGTAGTTCACGAGGAAGATGAGCAATCGATTTATCGGGGCCCGTCAGTCCCTTGTCTTGAAGCTAGAGAAAGAAGTGAGCATATAGTCTATCAAGCTTTTGAGGTTGTAGTCGCTGACCAATGTGAGGAAGGAAACCCTTGCCCTCAACCCTTTCTCTCAAATGCATCAATTATGGTTGCCAAAGAAATGATCAGACATGGTTACAAACCCGGGAAGGGGCTCGGGAAGTCATTGCAAGAAATCGCCAAACCTATCACCCTGGCTGCTAGTGAGAAGTTCTTTAGGGTAGGTTTCCAACCCACATCGTCTGATGGAAAATGGGCGGATGAAAGAAAGAATAATGGTTGGGTCTTGTCTCAGCCAATTCCGCATCTTTATAGGACATTTGTCAAGCCTAAGTACAATGAGGAAGAGGAAGATGAGGCCTTTACGGCCGAGGAAATTGAAGAAATCTGTGGGGCTATGAGGCAGATGCTGTATGAAACCCACATGGCCCAACCAGGGGAAGGCTCAAGCACCGCTAAAGTGTTATACATGGGACCCAGTGCAAAACTGCAAAATTGGAAGGCTACTCCGTTCCCAATCAGGTGGGAATCCCGGTAGTCCAGTCCTGCCACTTTTTCTGCATCGCGAGTTATTTCAGGGTGTAACTTGGATGTTTTCTTTAGTTTTCCTGTCTTTAATTCCCAATGTAAACCCTGTTATCTTCAAATTCAAAGAAATGAAATCAATATTCCATCATTCATCTTTCTTTATTCTTTCTGATTTTTGTTATTTTTCTCTTTTATTTCTTCTTTCAGTTCTAACAATGTGGCTTTAAATAACATGACATGCTTGTGGACTTCATGCCCAGATTCAAACATGCTGTCTAACTGTGAAATAATGAACCAAGAACCGGAATATGATGAAGAAGAGGCTTTTAGGGAAATAAATCGAGAATTAGAACAATTTGAGAATAGACCTAAGCCGAACTTAAATGATACTGAGTCGGTTAATTTGGGTAGTTTTGAAGAAACCAGGGAAACCAAGATAAGCATTCACACAGATGAAAAAAACTGGGATGCATTGATCCAACTTTTATTTGAGTTCAAAGATGTGTTTGCTTGGTCATACGACGACATGCCAGGATTGAGTGTTGATTTGGTGGTTCATAAGTTGCCAACTTACCTCGATTATCCCCCTGTCCAGCAAAAGCAAAGAAAGTTTAAAACTGATATCAGTGACAAGATTAAAGAAGAGGTCACAAAACAGTTGAAAGTGGGGGTGATCCGAGTGGTTCGATACACCACATGGTTAGCTAATGTAGTTCTAGTGCCAAAGAAAGACGGAAAAACCTGAGTGTGTGTGGACTACAGAGATCTGAACAAAGCAAGTCCTAAGGATAATTTCCCTTTGCCGAACATCCACATCCTTGTTGATAACTGCACCAAACATGAGATACAGTCCTTCATGGATTGTTATGCAGGAAATCACCAGGTGTTGATGGATGGAGAGGATGCAGAAAAGATAGCTTTCACCACACCCTGGGGCACATACTGTTATAGAGTCATGCCTTTTGGTCTGAAGAATGCCGGGGCAACTTACATGAGAGCCATGACTGCCATTTTTCATGACATGATGCACCAAGAGATATAGGTGTATGTAGATGACGTGATCATCAAGTCCAGGACCCAGGATGACCATGTTCGGGATTTGAGAAAATTCTTTGAGCGACTGGGTAAATATGATTTGAAGCTAAACCCAGCTATATGTGCATTTGGGTTCCATCTAGCAAACTTTTGTGATTCATAGTCAGTCGGAGAGGCATCGAGCTGGACCCAACAAAGATAAAGTCCATTCAAGATTTGCCTTCTCCAAGAACCAAGAAAGATGTTATGAGCTTGTTGGGAAGATTGAAAAGCATCAACCGATTCATTACTCAATTGACGTCTATATATGAACCCATTTTCAAGCTATTAAAGAAAGATGCAGCAATTAAATGGAAAGACAAGTGCCAAGAAGCTTTTGACAAAATCAAAGAATATCTATCGAACCCACCAGTCTTGGTCCCGCCTGAATCGGGAAGACTCTGTTCTTGTATTTGACAATCTTGGAGAATTCTTTTGGATGTGTCCTCGGACAACATGATGTGACCGGGAAAGAGAACAGGCGATATACTATTTGAGCAAAAAGTTCACAAGTTATGAAGCCAAATATACCCTGTTGGAAAGAACTTGCTGCGCTTTAACTTGGGTTGCTCAGAAGCTGAGGCATTACCTGTTGGCCTACACCACTTACTTCATTACCAGGATGGGCCCTTTAAAGTACATATTCCAAAAGCCAATGCCCACAAGGAGGTTAGCAAAGTGGCAGATCCTATTCACTGAATTTGACATAGTCTACGTCACTCGCACAGCAATGAAAACCCAGGCGTTAGCAGATCACCTAGCTGAAAACCCGGTTGATGATGAATACCAACCTTTGAGCACCTACTTCCTGGATGAAGAGGTAAATTCAGTTGAGGTAATATCCAAAGATACCAATGCTTGGAAAATGTTCTTTGATGGAGTGGTAAATACAAAAGGTGTTAGGATTGGGGCAATCTTGATCTCACCCACTGGTCAGCATTATCCAGCCACAGCCCGGCTTCGATTTTTCTGCACAAACAATACTGCCGAGTATGAAGCCTGCATTATGGGTATGAATATGGAAATTGACCAAGATGTCAAAGAATTGTTAATCATGGGAGACTCGGATCTGATTATCCAACAAGCTCAAAGAGAATGGGAGACATAAGATGTCAAACTTATTCCCTACAAGCAACATGTGGAAGATCTTAGCAAATGATTCAAGTCAATAGAGTTCAGGTACATCCCTCGTTGTCACAATGAACTAGCTGATGCACTTGCTACTTTAGTCTCGACGCTGCCATACCCAGGGAATGCCCATATGGATCCCTTGGAAATCCAAATCTAGGAAAGGCACGGTTACTGTAATATGGTTGAGGCAGAACCAAATATTCAGCCATGGTACCATGACATCAAAAGATTTCTGAAAACTAACGAATACCCCGAGCAAGCCAGTGGAGACCAAAAGAGAACCATTAGATGGCACGCAAGTGGTTTCTTCCAGAGCGGTGATATCTTGTACAAAAGAACTCCGGACCTCAACTTGTTAAGATGTGTTGACGCCGAAGAGGCTGGAAGAATCATGTATGAAGTGCACGTAAGAGTGTGCGGACCCCATATGAATGAGTATGTTTTGGCAAAGAAAATCCTCCGAGCAGGTTATTACTAGATGACTATGGAAAAAGACTGCTTCAGTTTCGTTTGGAAATGTCACCAATGTCAGGTGCACGGTGATTTGTTTCATGCACCGCCTACAAAACTACATCCTATGTCAGCACCTTGGCCATTTGTTGCCTGGGGCATGGACGTCATTGGACCGATTGAACCAAAAGCTTCAAATAGACATAGATTCATATTAGTCGCTATTGACTACTTCACAAAGTGGGTCGAAGCAATTACTCTCAAATCTGTCACCAAGAAAGCTGTAGTAGACTTCGTGCATTCTAACCTTATCTGTCGTTTTGGTATTCCTGCAACTATCATTACGAATAATGCTGCAAATTTGAATAGTCATTTGATGAGTAAGATATGTGAACAATTCAAGATAGCGCATCAGAACTCTACTCCTTATCGTCCCAAAGCCAATGGTGTCGTCGAAGCAGCGAACAAGAACATCAAAAAGATTTTAAGAAAGATAATTCAAAGTTCCAGACAGTGGCATGAAAAGTTGCCTTTTGCATTTTTGGGGTATCGTACTACTGTGTGCACGTCGGTCGGAGCAACCCCGTACCTTTTGGTTTATGGCACTGAAGCCGTAATACCCGCAGAAGTTGAAACCCTTCTCTCCGGATTATTGTTAAAGCTGAAATTGAAGACAGTGAGTGGGTCAAAACCCGTTTGGAACAGTTAACCCTGATTGATGAAAAGCAAATGGCCGCAGTCTGCCACGGGCAGTTGTATCAACAGAGATGGCCCGTGCCTACAACAAGAAAGTGCTGCCTAGAAACTTTGAAGTGGGCAACTCGTCTTAAGGCGTATTCTCCCCCATCATCAGGAAGCAAAAGGAAAATTTGCTCCTAACTAGAAAGGCCCATACATTATCAGAAAATTATTGCCAAAAGGGGCATTGTATCTGGGAGACATTGAAGGGAATGACCCTGAAACAACTGTGAATGCAGATGCAATCAAAATGTACTATGTCTAACCCTTTTGCAGCAATAGCATTATCCGATTGGGATGTTGAAGGCTTTCATTCTTGCTACCCCAAACACTCCAATCTTTTGCTAACCCTTTGAGCTGATTGTCTTTCTTTCATTACCCTCTTTGGAACTCGAAGACGTTTGTAACAAAAAAATGAAAAATGATATGAAAAGAAAAGACAACAGAAACAAAACAGAAAAAACAAAAAAACAAAAAAACAAAAACAAAAACAAAATGTTTTCCTGAACTGCGTTCGACTTGATTCCGAAAGGATACATAGGCAACCTCTCTCTGGGGTTCAGTAACACCAAAACAAAAATCCAAGTTTCCCCCAAAATGAAACTGGAGCAGATGTTATAATGGTTTGGCGATGATCCTGCCTGAATGGTTCCAAAGTTGTAATTCGATCCAAATTCTTTTTACCCAAACCTTGTTCAAGTCCTTCCGATCAATCGGCGAAAGGTTTTCAAAATCAGAGAACGCAATTGTTTGGATCCGATACAATCAAGATGAGAGAAATAAAATGAGAGAGTCTTATTGGTAAAAACCTACGGGCACCATAAGTCGATGGTGAGCAAAGAAACTGAAAATGAGAGAGTCTTGTTAGTGAAAACTCGTAAAGAGCACTATAAGGAGATGATGAGAAGAGAAATGAGAGAGGTCAATTGGCGAAAACCCGCAAAGGGCGCCGTTGATCGAAAAGAAGAAACCCATCACCACCATTGGTATTTGAAAGAGTCCTAGCAAGGTTTCTCAGTTTTAAAAACACAGGTCGCAATGGGTTTATAAGAAGTTGGATAGTTGTGCAAATCGGGTATCCAGTCTAAGAAGCATGTCATGTCTATTGAAGTCTGCATGCACCCCAGATAAGTCCTTCTTTCCTCCCCGAAAGGGACACTTCTCTTTAAATTTATTTTCTTGTCCTTTGTTTACTTTTCTTTGAATCCCTTTCGGTCTAACTCTGTTTCCAAGACTAATACAAAGAAAAGGTGGCAAGATTGGTTTTACAGGGTTCTGCTTAATAAAAGCCAAGCCCAAAGAAAAGTACCCAGCCTCAGCGGGTGCATCAAGTCGATCCCGACTGGCCATGATGGCCGATGCTCTGAAATCAAAGTTATTGGAAATGAAAAGAAATCCAAAGTCAAAAGCCCCTAGAGGCAGAATAAAGTGAAAGGACCAAAGCCCCATACAGGTGAGCCGTCATGAGAAATCAGGAAAAATTGAGTTCCTCGGTTTTAGGAGGGAAATCAATCTTCAGAAAAGTTAACAAGCAGCAGAGGTTCTCACCAGAAGAGTTGGGCAGCGATCAAGTGATCAAAACAATTAAAGCCACAAAACCAACCTCCGTTTCAAACTAACAATTGTTCTTTGTTTGAAAAATTGAAGCAGGTGCAATCCAAAGCAACTGTACAAGAAACAGGTGCAAGCAAAAAGGAAAAAGAAATGTGCAAGTGCTAGAAACAGCTTTGCAACAATAATCAACCCAAAAGGCAAGTCTCATCCAAATTCTTTCCTGCATTTTTACTGAAAAGTGAAATGAAAAATGAATTGAAAAAAAAAGAAATAAGAAGAAAATTCAAAAAAAAGGATAGCTTAGGATTCCCAACCTCAATCTTTTACGCTTTTGCCAACATTAGGGCTCCAATCCCTAAATTTGAGATTTTAAACATAGAGCCTCCATTCCCTAGTCACCTTTTGCCAACATTAGGGCTCCAATCCCTAAATTTGAGATTTTAAACATAGAGCCTCCATTCCCTAGTCACCTTTTGCCAACATTAGGGCTCCAATCCCCGAGTTGAGATTTTAGACATAGGGCCTCCAATCCCTAGTCGCCTTTTTGCCAACATTAGGGCTCCAATCCCTGAGTTGAGATTTTTAGACATAGGGCCTCCAATCCCTAGTCGCCTTTTTGCCAACATTAGGGCTCTAATCCCTGAGTTTAGATTTTAGACATAGGGCCTCCATTCCCTAGTCGTGTTTTGCCAACATTTGGGCTCCAACCCCTGAGTTGAGATTTTTAGGCATAGGGCCTTCATTCCCTAGTCGCCTTTTCTTTGCCAACATTAGGGCTCCAATACCTAAGTTGATATTTTAGACACAGGGCCTCCATTCCCTAGTCGCCTTTTCTTTGCCAACATTAGGTCTCTAATCCCTAAGTTGAGATTTTAGCCATAGGGCCTCCATTCCCTAGTTGCCTTTTGCCAACATTAGGGATCCAATCCCCGAGTTGAGATTTTAGACATAGGGCCTCCATTCCCTAGTCGCCTTTTGACAGCATTAGGACTCCAATCCCTGAGTTGAGATTTTTAGACATAGGGTCTCCATTCCCTAGTCTCATTTTTGCCAACATTAGAGCTCCAATCCCTGAGTTGAGATTTTTAGACATAGGGCCTTCATTCCCTAGTCGCCTTTTCTTTACCAACATTAGGGCTCCAATCCCTAAGTTGAGATTTTAGACATAGGGCCTCCAATCCCTAGTCGCCTTTTGCCAACATTAGGGCTCCAATCCCTGAGTTGAGATTTTTAGACATAGGGCCTTCATTCCCAAGTCGCCTTTTCTTTGCCAACATTAGGGCTCCAATCCCTAAGTTGAGATTTTAGACATAGGGCCTCCATTCCCTAGCCGCCTTTTGCCAATATTAGGGCTCCAATCCCTGAGTTGAGATTTTTAGACATAGGGCCTCCATTCCCTAGTCGCCTTTTCTTTGCCAACATTAGGGCTTCAATCCCTAAGTTGAGATTTTAGACATAGAGCCTCCATTCCCTAGTCGCCTTTTGCCAACATTGGAGCTTCAATCCCTGAGTTGAGATTTTAGACATAGGGCCTCCTTTCCCTAGTCGCCTTTTGCCAACATTATGGCTCCAATCCCTGAGTTGAGATTTTTAGACATAGGGTCTCCATTCCCTAGTCTCCTTTTGCCAACATTAGGGCTCCAATCCCTGAGTTGAGATTTTTAGACATTAGGGCTCAAGAAACAAGCCCAAGTAGCAATTGGTGTTTTATTGCTGGTAGGGACTCGATATTGAGTCCTGATCCTCAGCTTTGACTTTGGCAAGGTTTGGATTTCTTGAGCCTGGGCCTTGAGGTCATTAGCAAGAGAGGGCGGTATGCCATAGCTACTCGGGCTTGTTTCTTGATCCCAGTAGCTCGTTTGTTTGCTACTGGATTTTCCTCACAGAAAATTTGATCCAAAAATGCATAAAAGATAAAGTTAGAAGCTCAGTTAGTTGATGTGTGCTAGATTAGTTCAAATTCAGAAGTTAAAAAGGGTAATTCAATTTTGTGTTTCGTATAGCATTAGTTGGTTGGCGTTTATTTGATTCTGCAAATTGTTTGGCTCTAAGCGTTGGACATAATGCTGGCCTAACTGATGAATGTTTAATTTCTTGATTCAATTGCATGTCTCCATGTCACTTGGTGTCTATCATTTCATAAATCTTGGGCTCATGTTGGGCCCAAGCCTGAAGAGGCTAGCAAAGGGGACCATATACTTTACACCATTTGGGTCTGTTTTGTCGAACCCAGTCCTTTGTTTAGTTGTTGTTGTTGAAGCAACCTCTCTTTAAATAATTGGTCATTCAACACAAGGCCCATCAGTAGGTTCGAACCCTTAGTAAAAAAAATAATAATTAGAATTACATTAAGCCTTTTCTTAGTTAATTAATTGGGCTCTTAAAAGTAGATTTGAGGCGAACCGTATTAAGTAAGATATAGTTATGGACCTCAAAAGTTTAGTTTGAATTCTTTTTAAAATTGGAATTGATGTGCGCCATGCTAAATAAAATCTCAAAACGCATGGCCCTCATTTAATTAATTTTAATCCTTAGAAATCGAGTCGTGCCATTTAGTTGAATTTTTCATGGCCCTCGTAAATGTGAAAGTGCGTAGTTGCTTTAGGTGCATAATTTAAATTAATTTTCTTAAACTCGAGTGTGCATTTCATGTGACCCAAATTCAAATCTCAACAACGTTAAATAAAATGTGTCGCGGATCGTGGGTGCATTTCATGTGGCATGGTCCAAAGACATATTTTAGATAACGTTGAATCTTCCTAAAATCAATTAAAAGCGGTTAATAGTTTAAAATTATACCATAGGCTAAAGCATGTATTAAAATTAGATAATAGGCCAATTGTGATAGTTTAAGCGACCGTGCTAGAACCACGGAATCCGGAGGTGCCTAACACCTTCCATCGGGTTAACAGAATTCCTTATTCAGAATTTCTAGTTCGCAGACTTCAAAAGGAAAGTCGAATTTTCCTCGATTTGGGATTTAAAATAAACTGGTGACTTGGGACACCTAAATAAACTATTCCAAGTGGCGACTTTGATAAATTGAATAAATTAGTCTCATTTCGAATAATGTCACTTAAATTGGAAAAACTCCCATATGCCTTCGGGTGTGTAAAAAGGAGGTATGACAATTCTAACCCGTCTTTTCATTTTTCAGACGTATATGGTGGAAGTGGAGAGCATTCGCAGGGCCAAGATTTTCTTGAAGATGTTGGATAAATATTGTCGTTACCGCAACAAGTGTTGCGAGATGCATGAGCGGCTGAAGGCAAACCCCGGTAGTCGGGCTCTTGGTACGGAGTCAGAGAAACGTGACCAGGAATTAATGCAGGCTATCCGCAGCAAGAGTGTGCTTGAGGAGCAACTTCAAATAAAGAACGAGGAGCTCGAGTTGGGCAAGGGAGTTGCCATAGAGTGCGAGCATCTGCAGGAGAAATTGAGGTCAATGCAGTCAGAGATGGATCGGAACTTGATCAAGGTCGAGGCACTGAGCGCGGAATAGATGGGGAAATTGATTGAGCTAGAGAACAAGGTTGCTGGGTTGGAGAGCATCGAGAGTGCTTGGTCCGCGGCTTCGACGAGGGCGGCGATCCTGGATAACACCATCCACATCCTCCAATCTGAGCAGGAGTCAGAGAGAGCGACGACTACCCTTATGGAGGCAAGGCTTGAGGAGCGCATTAGCGAGATTGACCAAGAGGCATCGGTTCTGGGAGATCGGGTCGCATCATTGGAGGCAGAAAATGGGCGATTGTTGGGTCAGATTGAATCTCCCTCTACCGCCATTCCCTGCCACATGCATGAGCTTTAGGTTTACGCCGAAGCCTAGTGGGATATATACAAGAGTTTGTGGGAGGGGGTACTGTGACTGACGCTGCATATGAAGAGGCGCGAGTGAAAGCACGAGAGGCTCGCGTCAATTGCGGGTATGATGCGGTGACACCAGAAGCCAATGGGGGCACGGACGCCGAAGGAGAACTTCCCAAAGATGGCAGTGGAGAGGGTGGCGATGATGATGCAGAGTAGAGGGATAGTGATATTGATCCGTTTTCCGTTGTTTTCTTTCCAATTTTTTGTTTGTAGTCGATTGTCGTTGTTCCTTTCTTCTTTTTCCCTTTGTTGTTTTTTTAGATTGTTGACTTGTTTTTTTATGTAATCCGCAACTATTTGCGCGGAGTCTTTGTATAAAGGAGAATTTTTTGATGTTATTTGTCTTGTATTCTATTCTTGTTTTTGTTTCGCGTGATTTCGGTCTGAGATAGACTCCCGCACGGTGAGTCCCGGTCTTTTGTACTTTTTGATGATCCTTGGCCGTTGGAATATTTTGCACTTTCTCACTGGCGATGGCTTATAGCCTTAAAGGATGTTTGCCGAAATAGTAACCCGTCTTCATTCGACCGAGGTCAAACTCTCCTCTTGGGTGAAGGCCCTTGGCCTTAAAGGGTGTTATTTCGAACTTATCGAATTAGTAACTCTTCGTCGTTCGATCGAGGTCAAACTCTTCTTTTTGGCAAAGGCCCTTGGCCTTAAAGGGTGTTATTTCGAACTTATCGAAATAGTAACCCATCGTCATTCGGTCGAGGTCGAACTCTTATTTTTTGGCGAAGGCCCTTGGTCTTAAAAGGTGTTATTTCGAACTTATCGAAATAGTAACCCATTGTCGTTCGATCGAGGTCGAACTTCTTCTTTTTGGCGAAGGCCCTTGGTCTTAAAAGGTGTTATTTCGAACTTATCGAAATAGTAACCCATTGTCGTTCGATCGAGGTCGAACTTCTTCTTTTTGGCGAAGGCCCTTGGCCTTAATGGGTGTTATTTCGAACTTGTCGAAATAGTGACCCGTCGTCGTTCTTCTTTATTGGTGAAGGCTCTTGGCTTTAAAGGGTTTCATTTCGAACTTGTCGAAATAGTAAACCGTCATCGTTCTTCTTTATTGGCAAAGGCTCTTGGCCTTAAAGGGTGTTATTTCGAACTTGTCAAAATAGTAACCCGTCGTCGTTCGATCGAGGTTGAACTTCTTCTTTTTGGCTAAGGTCTTTGGTCTTAAAGGGTGTTATTTCGAACTTGTCAAAATAGTAAACCCTTGTCGTTCTTCTTTATTGGCGAAGGCCCTTGGCCTTAAAGGGTGTTATATTAAGCTTGTCAAAATAGTAACCCGTCATCGTTCGATCGAGGTCGAACTTCTTCCTTTTGGCGAAGGCCCTTGGCCTTAAAGGGTGTTATTTCGAACTTGTCAAAATAGTAACCCATCGTTATTCGATCGAGGTCGAACTCTTTTTTTTTGGCGATGGCCCTTGGCCTTAAAAGGTGTTATTTCGAACTTATCAAAATAGTAACCCGTTGTCGTTTTTCTTTATTGGCGAAGGCCCTTGACCTTAAAGAGTGTCATTTCGAACTTGTCGAAATAGTAACCCGTCGTCGTTCGATCGAGGTCGAACTTCTTCTTTTTGACAAAGGCCCTTGGCCTTAAAGGGTGTTATTTCGAACTTTTCAAAGTAGTAACCCGCCGTCGTTCTTCTTTATTGGTGAATGCCCTTGGCCTTAAATGGTATTATTTCCAGCTTGTCAAAATAGTAACCCATCGTCAGTCCCAGTTTTTGGAGAGTTAGGTCTTTTCTGGGAGAGTCCCAGTTCGTTTGACATTACTTGCATTAGGGGCTGCAACGTTAGAGAATACGAAACGTTGCTATTTCTCTTGGGTTCGTTCTGTGCACACATTGTAGTTTCCTTGTCTGACTTCTGCTTTCCGGCTTGGAGGTGTCACCGACGGGCGGTGTTTCAGTTGTTTTGCAGTAGTTTTTCGTTCTTTAATTGAGATGTTTCTTTACTTGCTCGTCCGCGCGGCCTTTATGTTCATTCTTGAGTAAAGAGCAGAAGGTGAGTTAAAATGATATTCCCTCCGGTTCACAATAAGTGACCAGTTTTCTTTTAGCACGCCCATTAAGAAAATGCTAAATCCTATACAAAAATACCTATTATGACTAAACTATCCTTATTAAATATTGGTCACATAGTTATAGTGAGGAGTGAGAAAACTTTTTAGGTATATGCACATAAGGATAAAAGAGTAAAAACAAATTGAGCTTTTTCTTGATTACCTAACTGGACACTTATTTTGAACCAAAATAAAAAAGTAAACTGGTCACTTATTGTGAACCGGAGGGAGTACTTTCCTTGCCCCTATCCGGTGGTCCAATAGGGGAGAACAGGTTGGTAACGTTGTTCTTCTTGTTTGGCATTTCGATGGTTGATGGGGCGAAGATTTCTAAATTTGGTGATTCTACTCAGCTCTCCTCCCCCTCCTGTGTTGTGCTTTTGTCTCGCGTGGGTTGGGTTTTTCCTTCGCACTCTTTTCGGTTGGTGATCGTATTTCTTGTCTTTGATCTGGGAGAGACTATGAAATTTCACTAAGAAATCCCTACAGACGACGCCAAATTGTTTGACTCAAAAGATAGCGGAACCTTTTTGGACAAATCAATCAAAGAAAATAAAGGGGTAAATCTTAGTAAGACATAAAAAATCCAGATCAAAGAGCTAATAGAATAGATTATTATAGGACGAAAAAGATATAAACGATCTTATTGAAATTCAATATTGTGATTCCCATCGATCGATGGGGGAGATAGATTTACATGTTCTTCTGTAGATTTCTTCTTTACTATCAAGATTACAAGAATAAAGCTTAGGAGAGAGAAG